TAGAGGGCTTGGCTACCGTTGTTGTTCTGCTCATGGACTACAAGAGTGCAGTGGTGGAGTCCTGCACGGGTTTCGGTGGTAGAACCTGTCATAAACTCTCTGGCAGTACATAGAGCATCACAGTGGATAATGTTGGCAACTGAAAAAGCAAAGCAAAAGAACCTGTTTCACCCTGAGTATGTTTGAGGAACCTCTGGATCAAAATTACTTTTGATCGCAAAGCATCAAAGGGAGACTTTGGCTGAGGACTTGTGGTTTCTGACAGCATCACAAGGCAGAAACACTCTGTTTCAGGGCTTAATCACTTACCAGGAATTGTGGGGGGTTGTATATGACGTGACTCCTTTTGTTAAATGAGTCAAAGATCACGTGGCTTTTTCACTGTGCAGCCCCATCCCCTGCATGGGTGAGAGGAGCCTCCTTTCTCCCCATCATTCTCAATCCAGTTGCCTGGCATAAAGGGACCCTGTGAAAAGAATTTGGATGGTCATAACAAAATCCAGTTGTCTGGTGGAGCCCAGGAGTTCAGAGTAAGTCTGATCCCCAGAAAGAATAACAAACAACCCCTCCTGATCCCTGAAACGTGAACCAACCCTGAAACATGTATATTCTAGCAGGTCTGCTTAACCCTTTCAATCCTGAATTGGTTTGCTGTGAGGTGGGAGCTTGCCTGAGATCCCACCCTGGCACTATTTGGAATACGGCAAGTGGCATGGGGAGAAGCAAGACTGAGTTGGAGACAGGAGCTGAATGTGGATCAGCGGGATGTGAGAAGTGGACTAGAGAGAAGGGATCCTGTAGCAGTAGCCTAGAGGTGGGGCTAGGTCTGGTATAGTCAGAAGAGGCAGTCATGGGAAGTTCTTATCTGAGGCAAGATCTGGCACTTTATAGTTAAGGGATGAAGTCTCTGCTGGGCCAGAAATATGAAAGTTTCCATCTTGTACCCACAGAACCTAAACCTCAGATCTACCCAGGTGTCCTTTGTCTCTGGTGACATCTTCTCAGCGGCACTGACCCCCATCACCCACAGGGCCCTACGTATCACACAGTCATGCATCCACAAAGGCAAGTGGAAACAGCTTAATATCAGCAAGAACAATAGATGAGTTTCGGTCTCGCATTTTATGCAACCAGCATTTCCCAGGGTCCACTGGCATCGAATAAGTTGCTCTCCAGCTAGAAGTCCAGAGTGGTTCCTGACCAGATTCTGCCCTCAGAGTAGGAGCTACCACACCAGCTCAGAATACAGCTCCTTCTAGTCCAGCGTCCCATCTCTGGGAGGGGGCAGGGTCAGAAGCTTCTGAGAAAGGTGACACTTCCATCTCTCATCCTCTCATTTGCACTCGTGTTGTTTATACTCCACCCTCCAGAAACTGCTCCTTTCTGGAATGAGACATTTTCTTTGTGCTGCTCATGTCCCTAATAGCTTCCTCTTCCTAGTGTTATTATATACAGAATCTATACAAAAGTTACACCCTTACAACCTCTATAATGCATCTAGCTAATTGTGTTTCTGTGCATGCAGGAGGAAATTCCTGAACTCTGAGGAGCTCTGACTCCAGATACAAATTTTACAGTTGATCCCTAGAATCTATAATGGACCAATCCAAAAATGTGGGTGTGAATATCCAGGACCTTGTTTGGGGTGGGGGATGATTTGTATATAATTAATGGAGATATCCCATCTCCTAGAACTGGAAGGGACCTTGAAAGGTCATTGAGTCCAGCCCCCTGCCTTCATTAGCAGGGCCAAGTACTGATTTTTCCCCAGATCCCTAAATGGCCCCTCTCAAGGATTGAACTCACAACCCTGGGTTTAGGAGGCCAATACTCAAACCACTGAGCTATCTCTCCCCCCCGAGTCCTTTATACCACTCTACAAGTGGGTGTAAATCATATTTGAACTCATTTCTATGCAGCCACTTTACACTGCATGAGAGATTCTCATTTACAACTAAGATCCCTTTAAATGTCTCCAGCAATGTAAACAGGTCAGGAGTTCAGGAGTCCAGTATTTTGGTTCAGACCCATCTTCTCTTTTTCCCCTTAACTCTTTCCTCAAGCGGCAGTGGTGCATCTGGATTTCTTTTTAGTGTGAGAAGTGTTTGGTTGTTTGTTTTCTGAAATGAAAATCTACTTTTGATTAGGAATAAGCTTAGCTCAGGGTAGTTTGAAGTGTGTGTGTGTGTATGTTTGTTTGTTTGTGCACGTAGCTAACTGCCACACACAGACACAGATACGCACACACATGTACACACCATCCCCCTCAGAAGTTAAAAGTGATACAAAATACTTGATTTTTAAATACACCTCCAAATAAATCAGAGGACAAAGGGAAGAGCCATCCGTGGACCATATTGTGATTTCAGGAGTGGAAAATAGGCCACGTTCCAATCTCACGGACACGAGTGTCAGTTTGGAGAAACCCCGCTCAAATCATTGGATTTACTCCAGTTTCACACTTGTGAAACCGAGAGCAGAATTTGGCCCACTTGGGAGGCAGAGGATTTTAAATCAGCACAGAATTTGGCCTACTGATGTCACTGGTATTACTCCTGACGGATGCTGGTGTAACTGAGATCAGAATTCACCCAACTGTTACTCCAGAATTACAGTGGTGTCAAGTGAGATTAGAATCTGGCCCAGTGGAGTTACTCTGGATTTCCACTGGTTCAATGAGATCATTATCTGCCCACAACGAGCACAGTACATGTTCACAACAGAAAACCTTTGTAGAAGTTCAATTTACTGATGAACACACGGACCCCGTGTTATAAGCCGGTTATTAGTCAATACAGTTTCATTCTACCCTGCAATGTATTAACTTTCTTAGTAACAGAAAACGCAATCTGTGGTTTGGTAATATTTCAGCTCACGCGCTAAAACCTTCGACCTATTTCAGATAAAAGGTTACCAAGTTCTAATTACTCATATTCCTGAGCATGTTACGTCCGTACTAATGCAGTGATTACCTGATGCTATTGAGGAACAAGCTTTTTTAAAATTAATTGTTCGTGAGAGCAGAGAGCTGGGAGCAAAGCATAGTAGGTCAGTGGTTTACATTCGGGGCGCTTCAGAAGAACTTTTCCTTTGGTTTCTATTTCCCCAAGATTCCCTGTCGCTGAACATCACTTTGAGGTTCCAATGAACCCAAAACTCAAAGCAAAAGTAACTCAGAAACCACGGTAACCCAGCAAAGCCCTGGATTTACTACAGTTCTGTTTAAGAGCACAAAACAATTGCTGGTACATGCCACGGCACAGTTGCAAATCTGTCAACAGGGCCGGATTTGCCAGTGCTCAAGCACTCTCAGTCAGGGCCAGATTCTCAAAAGAATCCAGCTCCCATTTGGGTTCCAAGCTTTTGGGATAATCTGGCCCTGAGTGCCACAATGAGAACTCCAGGGAGTTGAGCGCTTTTGAAAATACGGCCCCAGTTGTCAGTGCTGAGACCTCGAAAACCTGGCCCTTTGGGCAGATTCTGACTCGGAAGCATATTTTGACCTTTCTGGGGTATTAAAAATGATGGAGTATAGATATATCTCCTCCCCTCCTCTCCCTTTATCCTAACCCTCTTTGTTTTCTTTCTGTATTATGATGAATCTGGTATTTTGGTATATTTGTTGCATTGGGAAAAATTAATTTTTAAAAATGATGGATGCAAATTCAATCATTAGTTTCTGGGAGTTGAGAAATTCAGGTTGTTCACAAGGGATATGATCAGGGCCGGCGGAACCCATTAGGCGACCTAGACAGTTGCCTAGGGCACTACAATTTGTGGGGCGGCGACTGCGGTGGTATTTCGGCGGCGGGACCTTCCACCGCCTACGGCGGCAGAAATGAATATGATAGACTAAATGATAGAAAGTTAGCTTGGAGAGGGGTATTTACAAACCTTTAAAATAGACGTGAATTACATACACATCTCTCTGCATAATGTGGACATTTATAGCTCTTCAGCTATAAATGTATTAGATCACCTAGTCATCAAGGGATGATTTTATAGTGTTTTCTCCAGACCTTTCCCTCTGTCCAATTTTAAATAACTCCAGCACTGGGGGTTCCCATCCTGTCCCCTGGGACACTATACAACAGTTAGAGCTGTTTGGAAAATAGGGAGGTTTCCCCTCTTAATTTTTTGGGGGAAAAAAATGTTTTGGTTGTTGACATTTTCCAAAAAAAAATTGTTGACTTTTTGGCAAAATATTGAAAACTGAAATTTTTCATCCAAAAACTGAAATATTTTGGCCAAAACCTTTTTGAGGTTTGAATGCTCATTTTTTTCAACAAAATGTCAAAATTTTCTACAGAAAGCAGACATTTTTGCAAAAAAAATCCCACTTTTCTGTCAAAAAAACAGTTTCAAAGGAAAATTTTGACCAGTTCTAAGCATTCTGCCTTGGTTTTCATACCTTTCAAATCCTTGCAGCTGTCAAGACCCCCAATAATTGTCAATGATTCAGTCCATAGGTACACCTCTACCCTGATATAACGCTGTCCTCGGAAGCCAAAAAATCTTACAAAAAGAAGAACAGGAGTACTTGTGGCACCTTAGAGACTAACAAATTTATTAGAGCATAAGCTTTCGTGGACTACAGCCCACTTCTTCGGATGCGCTTTCGTGGACTACAGCCCAC